TAACTTCCAAGTAGGCTCATCATAACAATCTTCCTGAATCATGATTAATACTTTAGATACATACAGAGACAGATAAATACAATAGTTTTGTTTAAATTACCTAAGTTACCCTACCTGGGTACTAGATATCATATAATCATCCATCTAGCAACTCAACTAGCGATAGTGCACCGCTATTTCTCTATTCTTCTTGCGCCATGTATCCAATCTCATCATACGCGCTGTTTCCTTATCTATCTAACGAGGAACCGAACGGGAGATCTGGAACGCTATGTTTATGGACAGGTCCAATCACAATTGAGGATTTTCAAAGAGAGGCATCAAGATAACTCAGCATCCAGGGAAATTGAAAATCACATGTACCATCACAATCATAATCACGATCAAAAGCATGAGCGAAAAGTGTTCACTGTGAACATACAATGTATATTCTTCCCAAGCACAATTATATGCTCTAATGTCAAGGCAAAAGGCCGACCTCTACTACTTGACCATGGTTGAAGAGCCAAGTAACGCCCGCTTTATAAAATTCATCCGTAAGCCCTTTATGTTGAAACTTTTCCCTTGTATATCCCCTTTATATGCCGTTGAAGGTCAAAATGCTTTTCCCCGGTATCATTGCAATCATTACTCATGTTGAAAGATTTAACCACAGCTCGCCTGTAAACAAAAAATGAAAACCCATATAAACATAATCTAGTATCTGTAGATCTCAGCCTTGAATGGTCCCTCAACCTCAAGTCCGAGGTACTCAGCTTGAACTGGGGTCAATTTGGACAACTCGGCGTTGACGTGTGCCAAATGGAGCTTGGCGACGGTCTCGTCCAAGATCTTTGGGAGAACGTAGACACCAACCTCGAGCTTTTGGGTCTTGCCGAACTCAACATACTTTTGGCCGAAAGCGGCATCCTCGCACTTGAACAACATGATTTGAGCAAGAACTTGGTTGGTGAAGGAGCAGGACATGACGAAGGAAGAGTGACCGGTGGCACATCCCAAGTTAACGAGACGACCCTCGGCTAGGAGGATGATGTGACGACCGTTCTTCATGAGGTATCTGTCGACTTGGGGCTTGATGTTTTGAACGCTGGCAGCGTTTGCCTTCAACCAGGCAACGTCAATCTCAATATCGAAGTGACCAATGTTGCAGACGATAGCATCATTTGGCATAGCCTCGAAGTGCTCACCAGTCAAGATGTCTCTGCATCCAGTGGTAGTAACGAAGATTTGACCTTGGGAAGCAGCCTTCTCCATTGGCATGACTTGGTATCCGGAGACGGCAGCTTGGAGAGCGTTGATAGGATCAATCTCAGTGACAATGACACGAGCACCCATTCCGTGGAGAGCCATAGCACATCCCTTTCCGACATCACCGAAACCGGCGACGACGGCGACCTTACCAGCAATCATGACATCGGTGGCACGCTTGATACCATCGACCAAAGATTCACGGCATCCGTACAAGTTGTCGAACTTGGACTTGGTGACGGAGTCGTTGACGTTGATAGCTGGGACAAGGAGACCCTTGTTCTTCAACATCTTGTACAAGTGGTGAACACCAGTGGTGGTCTCCTCAGAAACACCGTAGCAGTCCTTCAACATCTCTGGGTATTTGTTGTGTACGAGTTGAGTAAGATCTCCACCGTCATCGAGGATCAAGTTCAAGCTCTTGCCGTCCTTGAAGGCAACGAGTTGTTGTTCCAAACACCAGTTGTATTCCTCCTCGGTCTCACCCTTCCAGGCAAAGACTGGGACACCAGCGGCAGCAATGGCTGCAGCGGCGTGGTCTTGGGTGGAGAAAATGTTGCATGATGACCAGGTAACCTCAGCTCCGAGGAATGTGAGGGTCTCAATCAAGACAGCAGTTTGGATGGTCATGTGTAACTATAACAGCTTCGTTAGCCTTCGATTCAGATTGGTAAAGTAGCGAGAGAATACATACACATCCAGCAATACGGGCACCCTTCAAAGGTTGATCGGCAGCGTACTTCTCACGAGTGGCCATCAAACCTGGCATCTCATTCTCAGCGAGCTCGATTTCCTTGCGACCAAAGGCAGCAAGACTGAGGTCAGCGACCTGTAGGTATCCAAATTAGCACAAGGGAATCCGCCATTTCATAATGGGAGCTTTGGGAGCTTTATTTACCTTGAACTTGGATGCTGGGGCAGACATTTTTGGTGAGGGAAAGATGATATCGAGGGAGGTAGATACTGAAAGATAAGAGTCAGTTCAAAGTTTCGGGAGTATAGAAGAATAAGGGCGAAGGTTGGGATAGAGACGCCTTTTAATACTTACATTTGTTTTTAAGGGTGGAGATGAAAAGAAGAGGCGAGGTAGAGAAGAAGAGATGAAATGGGAGGATAAACTGAAAAACTTCGGGGGCCGTCGCTTCAACTAGTAATGGAGGGGTGAGAAGAAGGAATATTCAGCGCTAAGCTAAACAAGGTTAGATACATAATCCCTGAGTACCAAAACCCAACAATAGGAAACGTTTGACAAAGAGATAGATATTAGATATCACTGTTCGGTGGTCAAGACTTGCATTGTTGTAGAAATACTATTGGAGTTACATGAGTTGTTCAAAGGTAGCTGTACTGTACTCGCATGTAACATACAATAATCTATAATATTGAGTACAATAATAGTGAAAGAAAGAGCAGATTCTCGTCAATAGGTGAATAATCCTTATACTTTGCTGGCCATATCTTCTAGCAAGGTATCTGGGCAGAGGATCTAGCCGACCACCGTCGCTTCGGTAGTCGGCCAGCGTGGTGTCTAATAGGTATGTGTACTCCGTACGTGGTCGACAAAGAGATGAGGAACCACGGATTGTCATACCTATAGGTAGCTTCTACCCACATATCTATGATTGTTGGGTGAGGCGAACGATGGGAGCAAGATGAAAGAAGTCAAGTGAAGTGATAACTAAGTCAAAATTCAGGGTCGACATCAACATGGAATTTAAACTAGACATGTGGGTATCACTGATGGCAAATAGTAAAAGCCTGTAAGTGGGGTTGAGTTGCACGTTGGTGGGTGGACAATATCAAAAGTCCGTGCATTTTTTGGACGAATATACGAGATATCTATACATCCATAAGAAAAAAAGAGTTCTCAAGGTGTTGTCTATCGTTCCTTTTTTGGATCATGAATATGATCCCACATATTGACATATCCCTCTGAACGCCATGCCCATGCAAGAAATCCCTCATAAGTGCCCTAGCTAGCAACCTTAATGTCCCTACTACCAGCTGCATTACATACGTTTCTTTTTAGTTTTGTTCTGGTAAGAGGTTGCTCTTTACTGCAAACATCTTTCCGGTGATGCTGGCTGTGAATCCATCCACCTGTCTTGAATACTGCTCAACTTGTCGTGCGTTCAACATACCCTCCAATCTGCTTGGTTCTGTTGGGAGCTTGAAGAGTCTTTCCCACTCATCCTCAGGTAGAGGGGCGAGTTTCTGTGTAGCTCTAGTAGCATTCTCCGCTGTACGCTTTGCCTTCCATGCTGTGACCTTGGCTTGCTCACGAGTCAATTGCCTCTGGAAATATTGGAAGTTGTTAAGCTCAGTGTAGTGAGTTTCGATGCTATCCAAAAGCATATCACAGGTTCGCTCCAAATAAGGATCAATAGATAAGTCCAAGGATTCCATGTTAGGATAAAGAGGAGTTGGTGGTGTGTTTCGGTTGAGGTCTGCGAAACTTGCGGGGAAGTCAAGCTCCTTCTTTGGTAATTCGACTGGCATTTGGTGCAAGAAAGAGGTCAAAAGATGAGAGTTGTGGACGATAATAGGTAATTCGACCAAGATGTCTTTGTATGTGAGCTTCGACTTTTGCATGCTATCGTCTTGTTAGTATTGGCCTTGTAATTGCATATCTTGTGAACTTACTTCTCAGTGGTGAATTTGCCCTCCTTGTACGCGGCCATGAAGGTTGGGGAAAGTCTGAAAGCACGTAGACTCAAAGCACCTTGAGAACTTCTGCTGACATCGTGGACAAGCGCGACAGTTCTCTCATTTGGTTCCTTTTGGTAGAAGAATTGGTTTTCGATCAGGCTGGTGTTGATGAAATTTCCCATATTTGCACTCGTGTACCATCCAACATTGTTTGCATCGACATTAACTTCCTTCAACATCTTGATCATCTCATTCTGATAAATGACGTTCGCTTTCGATCTTGGAGCTGCGGCAGCGATGTTCGAGGCGGCCATGTGGTCATTTGGGTGGGAATCCGAGGCAGCAACGTCCGTCGTGGGGAATGGGAAAGAGTTTGTGATTTGGAGAGTTCCGTTCGAGTCCATGCCAACGATCGATCCGGTAGCTGTGGTTGGGTAGGTTGCGGCACAAGCCTTTACAATCTTCATAACAACCTGTATATCTCATTAGCCACAATTTTCGACGTCGTGCCTGTGATATAATCCATACCAATGCCTCAACTTGCACTGAGTGCAAAGACACCTCTTTGCTAGCAATATCCGCCATGATAAAATGTGATTGAAATTCGTGATCGTTCGATTACGAATAATTACTGGCAATATTTCGATAGGATCTGGCGCAAATTCGAAGAGTTCCGCGTCCAGTAGTCGTTGTCGCAAAAAGGTGGGTTATTTTTTGAGGATGGATTCTATTCATTTGTGTGCGAAGCCTTGGCGTTTTTTTTTGCACTAGCGATGACGGGAATCTTTAACCCCGCGCGAATCTTGTTCTTTCAACACAACACAATGTTGCTATTGTTCATCAAAGATATGTTCAACTTCCAGTCCAACATAGCGATCACAGTTATGAGGCATCCGAACAACTGCAATTAATACATATTGCAATCATAATACGGATTGCTGTCTATTCTATTGTGGTATCATGAAAACAAGCAAACTTCTAGGTAGTCTATAAAATCATAGGTATCTCCTTCTACGCCGTCCAGTGCAACTCCGATATTCATCCAATCGAGCCGAAGGGCAACTAGGCGTCCGAACACTTCAGACACGATATATACTTTATTTTTAGTCGACCCATTGTTCAATATCCCATCCTTTAACATCGTCCTTCACTAGGAGCCTTAATCGTTCGACTACAAGATTTGATCAGCATTTGCAACATGAACACCAGTTATAAGAAGATTGAGCTCACTTTTCCACTCTGTATACATATGTCTGGCTGCGTTGGCTGCAACTCGATGGTGTGGACCCACGCTACCAATCTTAGCATCTCGTGAACTACGCCAAACGCAAGTTGCAAGATTTCGTCCGTTCTTGTCAGGTACTCCGAACCAGTACCTAAAGACTGTCAGTTTATCTTCTGCATACACGGAATTCGTTAACCTACTTGAGAAATCCTCCACTCTCGGTCGCTTCGGCGTGGGCAGCTTTGTCAAGAGCACCAAGGTCAGAGTAATGGGCGACGGTTTCAGGTGGGACTTGAGATCTGAAGACAACGATGTAGAAAAATTCCTCCTTCCAGGTGTAATTGGAGGCTTCTGCCAGCTCTTGAAGAGAATCAATGACTTCTTGCCACTAAAATAAGTTTGGTTAGTGAACCTGAAATTTCAAGACTTGATTCGAGATATTGGAGAACATACATTGAAAGTATCAATATATGGTGCAGTTGCATAATCTTCTCTCAGACATTTCAATTCAACAAGGGCTCTAGCAAGCAATTGATTTGGCGTATCCAATGTATCGAGATCTAGTAGATGAGGTTTTTCGTCGTATGGACTGACCACCAAGTATCTATCCCCGTCCAAGCTAATTTTCTTGCTGCTTGAAACAGGATATGTCAGTTCAGTTGAAGATTCGAGTGCATTGGAAAGTTCATGGCGTTCAAGATTGTTGAAAGGTAGAGTAGGAGATGTAACAACGGCCATGATGTATGGAAGTATCGAAATTCTAGGTCTGATCAATTTTAGGTAATTGTATAGGAAGAGGAGTTGAGATCGGAGAGGATATTCTGATGATTGAAGAAAGGGAACAATTTTAATGTCTTCCAGACTATACTGGAACGAACCCACCGGAAAGTCAAAGATATAAGAATTGGGAGGAAAAGATGAGTCCAGGAAGGAGCGTCCAGGACGCAATCGCCCAAAAAGATACCTCGACATGGTTTTGGATCAATAATATTCACATTTAATTATTTTTGCGGGGGTGTCGGCCGTTAAATGACTCAGGATGGTACGAAACATGGTCGCTATTGCGCCATACTCGGGTGCTGAAGATAATCACGCCTTTCTTTGTTTCTATTGTAAAATCAGGGGAAACAAAAATAGCCCTATGTAGAACAAAGATATATATCAACACTACACGCGGGCATCAAAGATTTCATAGCATTGTGAATGGAGTTTATTTTGGGAGCCTCATGTTTATTATTTTAAGTCGAAATTTTTAACGCCATGTCACCCAAAACGGTGAATAGTAACTGCAACCTATTGCAAGCAGACTTGTCCGCGTTGCCAATTCTCCAGTGTCTTCATCAGAGTTTTGGTACCTTGCATCAAACTCTACCGGTCAATTCTACTTGATTAGAGAAGATTTAGAGTTCCAGAGATTACTCAGACAGGGAAACCTAATCTAGACGCTTGAGCTGCAACGTTTGACCTCCCAATAACCGGTGATAGATAGGTACTCAATCAGCAAAGCGGTTCGTTTAAATTCATCTTCATTCCACTAGCACTATTTTCAATCGAAACTTGGATGGCTTCTTCTCGGTGATGAGATAAAGATTCATTCGAAGTTCTGTGTGGTCAGACTGTATTATACTTCTTTGTGCACGTTTCAATATCTTTGACACTTCTCCGTTTGACTCGAACGGGTCGATTTGCCTATGTGGAGTTTAGAAAGACATCTTCTCTTTGCAAGATGATCAGCATCAATTCTAAAGTTTGCTTGCTCTACATTTACAGATCTCCTTACACTACTATCACTATCAATAGCTTAGCCTATGTGCCTACCCGAAGACAATCACTACTGTCGACAGCTGGAGATTCCATCGAACTGATAAACTTTCCATTAATCCGTATAGAAGTGAAAGTAAAATTATATGTTAATATCATGTATGATTGTTTCCATCAAGTCGAACATCGCATATGCTTGGCGATATTAGAATATTGCAAGCGCACGCACATGAAGGGGAAGGGACATAGGAGGATAATAGACCGCAGAACTCTGATTGTCCACATGAACTAAATATAATCTTGAGCGTAATCTTTTTATCCCATTATCTTTCTATCGTACATATACATGAGGGACTCTGTCGAAAATGCCTGTGGCATTGTAGACGCATTGGGGCCGCCGTCCCCAGATTATTGAACCTTCGTCTTAACCTTTAGGCTCCCGTCGATCTCCCAGCCAGACTCTTCCACTTTCATAAGACCCTAAATAGAGGCCGCTTCCCAATGCCGTCCAGCCGGCTCTTAAAAGAGCACCCCGAAACAATCCTTTCATTCCAGCTTCCGCAATTACTTCCCGAGCAATAGTGAGACTACCTTTTTTCTTCCCTCCAAGGATATCAATCGACTGACCTCTTTTCTTGGCTTCCTCTATCTTCTTCATTGCCTCGCTCTCAGAATTTTCTCCTGCTGCTGCAAGCATAATCCGGGTCTTCACTACATCAACAGGTGTTGTGATTACAGCTGCAATAGATCCGGCACTTCCAGCGCTAACTGCTGTTATTGTTGCTGTCTCGAGCAATGAACCGGTCATCGTTCCATTTTGCCTCCGGTAGTTCTTAATCGATTCTTTCATGTGCTCAAACATAGGAAATTGCATTGCGGTGAATGGTAGGTTCCGGGCAGCTAATGCCGTGTATCCTGTGAACAATTGCGAAGGTCTCTTGAATTTCTTCAATGCCTGCACAGTAACAGAAGCTCCAGATGTTGAGGAGTGAGTTGGCCGACGAATCATTTGTGCATTCTGTTTCAATACCTCCGCAGGAGTCAGTATAAAGCATGATACCAGTTCAGCGACAGCCGAAGCTGCGCTGTGCACAAAAGGTTGGGGTATCAGTGGCGCATTGTTGCTACCGAAGCTTGTATTTGCTTTGGTGAGAACGGATTTTATTCCCTCATATGTGGTGAAGAATGCTCCTGCTGTGAATCATTAATATAGCAGTAGATTCAAGGTCTTGAGAGCTCATACATGAAGGCATAGTCACCAAAATTACAGGTCCGACTCCTTGATATAAACCTCGGAACAGTAAACCACGATTGATAGCTTGTTTCGATGCATCATAGTAGATCTTTTTGTAATCTGGACTTTGAAATCGGGTCTTAAGAGTATCCAAAGGGTATACCAGAAGGTCAACAGCTACCGCTGCAAACGCTCCCGCCTGTGAGTTGTGTTAAAAATGTGATCAAAACATTCCAGATCAGAGATTTTTATGAAGCAAAAATTGCAGTACAATCCCCCAATGAAATCGAAAAATGGACAGCTTGAAAGTACTTGGTGCTTTACCACTGGAATTATTGTATTTCTTTCCCTTGGCTCACCGGGTGCCAATTGGAAACCATATGGAGGGGTGATATTCCCAAGCAAACACTTGCTTGCTTTCGCTGTTACAAGTTTTCATGAGCCAAACAAACTTACAAGAAGAACATCTATATGTGAATTCGACATTTGAAATCATATTGAAGAAAATGAAAGATTTCAATAAGAAATGTTGGAAGGAAACGAGACATAGACCCCTCCAACCATCGTCATAGAAGGGAGCTTTATCGGACGCTAAGATATGATGTATTGTAATCAAAAAGAAAGTTGAGCTCTCGCCTCAGCTTCATTTGGCCACTCAGCACTTGAGCAAGCAAAATCAATTTTGCAGATAAACCACATATAATAAAACTACCCTGTTTAATTTGATTATTCTCACACTGGCGAACTGGTTTTGGTCAACAACCTCTCGAGCTGAGGTTAGAAAGACAGCTCCCCGAGGAACAATGGCGGAACCTGCTCCAATACCACAATCATTGACTCCCCAGTTTTGTTTCTCAACAGTTGCGCTGAGAGGTATTTCAATGTCTATTCTAATATTATGCAAAACTAGGACTAACACTTTACAGATTTCCTTCGTATATCTCGCGCCTCAATTGACGATAGCATAACACAAAATCTCAATGCGCTCGTAACACCTTCGAGGGAAGGATTTGACCCCTCGTCTACTTCGATCCGCAATCCTCGACACCCTCACTCAAAACAAATATCTTCCACTGCATGTCAGAGTTTCAAGAAATCGGTTCTATTCTCCTCGTGGCAGACAAGATCAGATGTGCTTAATTATTGCGCTTCTGTTGCTACGAGTCCGGACCCCGATGATCCGGATCTGCTAGAAAGACAGGTTGAGAGTGCGAGAGACAGGGAGAGGGTGGTGGATGAGAGGTTAGATCCTTATTCTGCGAGATTCTTCCCGAAAGAGGCGCGGACAGAGAGGTTGGCTGCTATTGTGAGGCAAGAAAGAGGGGTGGAAAATATTGTGAGGGCGAGGAGTTGGGGGTTAGTAAGGGAGAGATGTGGCGGAGATTCGGAGAGCTGGGAGGAAGCTATGGATCAGTGGAGGAAGAGTCGGGAAAGACCTCAGTGAGATGGCAGTGTGCATTTGGATGTTTACGTGCAAGATTGCACAGGAGCGGGAGTTTGTGGGGGGATTCGGGAAATTATACACAGAGGATTAAATGACTACGGATGGACATATTTGAGAAGCTTGTATGAGTGTATGAGAAACAATAGAAAGAATCAACTCCCACTAATTTAAAGTATAACACATGCATATCTCACACCACAGCACGAGAGCAAAACACGAGATGCCTAGTTGTTGGGAATAACATAAATCACAAATCATACAAAATGCTTCAAATTTAGACGCTTTCTAATAGTAACCCAAACACCAAATAGAGAAAGCAATTAATTAGACTTGCATTACATTGCACTAGTAATCTATCTCAATGTCTACTACTAGGTAGTCTAATAAGTACTATTTTAGTGAGAGCACAGCATATTTGAAAGCGGATATGAAATTCGCCCGGAAAATAGCCGGAACTTTCCACCATTGCAACCTCGAAAGTTCAGTAGAACTTATTAATACACAACCCCTCCAAACCCTACAACTTCCCAACAGAGCAGGAAACTTCCCACCTCTGAGACGGAACATACAGTTCAGGACTTTTCAATCATTGTCAAGGCCTTTGATACAATATCGAGACTTTTTAAAAGGTCACCACAGTATTGTAAATCCTGACATCAGAATCACAGAACGATCTTTAAACTCCCCACGCTGTTGAATAGCTTTTCTGGCAAACGCAATTGAGCAGCCATGCCACAACCTTTATCGTCGAAAGAGTCCTCACTCTTTAGGACCGTGGTTCGAAACTATGAGGATAAGCAGTACAAGAAAGGTGCGCTACATATGACAGCTTCTTCACAGGCGCCAACTTACAATCCACAGGTTTGAAAGCTGCCGACCAGATTCTAAAAAAGAACCCTAAACATGGAGATACTTTGGCTATGAAAGCTTTGATTCTAAACTCTCAAGGGAAATCCGATGAAGCTTTTGCGCTTGCAAAAGTGGCCCTCCAATGCGACTTCAAATCACACGTCTGCTGGCACGTTTACGGACTGCTCTATCGCGCCGCTAAAAACTTTGAAGAAGCTATCAAAGCATACAAATTTGCTCTGAAACTAGAACCAGATTCGCAGCAGATCCAGAGAGATTTGGCACTTTTACAAGTACAAATGCGTGATTATGCGGGCTATCTTGTTAGTCGCAAAGCTATGCTAACTGCTAGATCGACCAGTCGACAAAGCTGGACTGCTTTAGCTGTGGCATACCATCTAAATGGCGAATTGGCAGAAGCGGAGAGAACTTTAACCACCTACGAGGGAA